GTAGTATTAGTAGTAGTAGTTGTAGTTGTAGTTGTAGTTGTAGTTGTAGTTGTAGTAGTAGTAGTAGTAGTAGTAGTTGTTGTTGTTCTTGTTGTTGGTTGTTGTTGTTTGTTGTTGTTGTTGTAGAAGTAGAATTAGAAGTAGAAGTAGAAGTAGAGGTAGAGGTAGAGGTAGAGGTAGAGGTAGAGGTAGAAGTAGAAGTAGAAGTAGAAGTAGTAGTAGTAGAAGTAGAAGTAGTAGTAGTAGTAGTAGTAGTACTACTACTACTACTACTACTACTACTATGACGACTACTAGTTGATAATAATCACAACAATAAGAGTAATAGTCAAAGCTTAGCGGCTGGTTCCATTCTGACTGCCGAATTCGAAGGGCCTGCCGCTAGTGGAGTGCGAGAAAGGAGGAGCCCCCTTGCACATCTGAGGCTGACGACGTTGCCTCAGGCATCCAGAAGGCGAAAGCCTGCCAAGCTGCAGCCCGCGAGGTCGGGGAGGCGTCGCCTTGCCGTGCCTGTTTCCGGAAAAGCCCAGGGCCTCATGAAATATAGACTCGAAGGATCTGTTTTTGCAACAAAGCCCGCGAAGTAAGGAACTAAGAGGTACCGTTGATCATCACTACCAATGAAGCCATCGATAAAACGGCAATGGTGGGATCTCCAACCTTATACGTTTACCCCGCGTCACTCCCGAAAACAAGCCTCGCTCCAGGCTTTGAAATCCCGCACCTATGGCCCGGAGTTCTTGGCGAAACTCTTGGCCGTCGCGTGAAAAGCGGGGATCGGCAGCAGGTTTCAAAGCTGCAGTGTCGGCAGGAGGAGGGTTCCTGTAGCAGTTTACGTACTCCCATGCCGGACACCAGTGTCGGCCGGCATCTGAAGGTCGGAGCCCTTCGGGAACTCTGTAGCGACGGACTGCGGGGCTCCGGTAGAGCCGAGACGGGGCTGATGTTGGGGCTCTCTTGAACTTCGGGTTCCCTTCCGAGGCACCCCAAGAGTTTAGGGTTTAGGGTTTAGTTGACATCGATATCGCTCAGACCCCCAAGAAGGGATCCTGAAGAAGCGCAGGCGCCCATGCCCCTTCTCGTATGGTTTTCGCAGCGGGGGAGGAAAAAGCAACCTCTGCCCGGCCTCTCTTCAAGCCGGAATGCAGCTCATCCGGCTTCGGGGATCTGGAGACTTACAGTTGATTAAGGCATATGCCATGATTCCCATAGTTTAGGGTCCTGAAGGTAATGCAGGATTTATATCATCCACCGTAGTAATGGCAGCCAGCCTCAAAGTACTACAGCCCAGGTTGGCGTAATTCTAATCGGACTTCTTGGGCCTGCGGGCTCCAGGTCCATGCTGACAAGCTGAGTCGTCTGTTCCTTCAGGGATCGTGGGAGACTTCTAGACATAGAGGTTTGTATAAGTGGGTTCAGAAGAGCCATACATGCCCTACTTGGAGCTGCTTGCCTTACAACATTGCTTGTTGGACCGTCGGCTCCTTGTGCCGATTTCGCTGTTGCTGCCAGATCTGGATCGTGGGGAACGCGATCTCATCTTCAAGGGGGCGGGACCTTCAGAATTTGAAGCTGGGCGGGGCACCTAAATGCCAGTGCAGGCGTGAAGACTACTTTCTGCTGGAATGGAGGTACTCCCTAGTCTGGAAGCTTGCAGCGGGAGATGCACGACTCCAAGATAGTGTTTGCCGAGGCACAGAGAATGAGCCCTCGTTCATTTTGATGATCCTCAGTTGCAACTGGGGATCTTTGGGCGGGAGTTACAGTAGACTAATCTATCTATCTATCTATCTATCTATCTATGGTTTCTGGCATCAGGTTTAGAAGGCTTATGCATCGACCACCGTCGTCTTGCTGTGCTTGCCTTTCAGCTGTGCAAGTTGAAATGAGCAATAGGGTGCATTCCCCTGCTGCTTGCCTGTTGGAAGCCTGATGCACGGACCACGCGCGATTGCGAATAAGCCGGAAGCTGACGGTGCCTGTTGACCCGCACATACTCCCTAAACCCTAAACCAGCGCATACTTAGAGTGCAGAAGCTTGCAGCAACAGCAAACACGACACATTGAAAGCCTAGCTAGATCCCAAACCCCAGCTAAAGCCCTAAGCCCCATGATGAACTTCTCACCCCCCAAAACTTCCTTGCACCAAACCCCCTGTAAGTCTCCTACAAAGCTTCAAAGCCCCTTTATTTATAGCCCATTACCCTCTATTTATGGCCTATAGCCCATACCTTCTAGAACTCCTGTACAGCTCCTAACGTCTACCGCGCCTCCGTTGTCCCGAACCCGAGATCCACACGGGCTTCGGTTCCTGGTGTCGAGGAATTGCAGTGGCAACGGCACGCGCGTGAACGACCGGCTGCTACAGGCTCCTCTTACGAAGGGTACCATGGGGTTCTTTTCTACCATAAAGTCCCCGGTTCCCTTATTTTCTATGGGTTCCCTAATTCTTCAGCGCATTCAGAACCATAAATTTCTTAAGCGCCCCTTTAAGGGCTTTAGGGAAGTCTAGGGTGCCCATGAAGGCCCCCCTTCAAGGGCTTTAGGGAAGTTTAGGGCACCGATGGCCTTACGGTCTGGGGTCTCCCAGACTTAGAAAATGACCTTCAGGAGGCTGATCTCAATGCCGAGCCGGAAACTTCCAGGGGTTGGAGGGTTTAGGGTTGAGGGGATCCCTTTTAGGGTTTAGGGGTTTAGGGTTTAGTTCCGGGCGAGCGAAGCCTGCTGCAAAAAGGGTCCATGACGTACAAACCCAAAAATCCCCCAAAGCTGCATGTGAGGTCCCATGACACACTGCAAGACTGCCCGTCCCCATCTGGCGTCGCCCCAAGAACTGAGAGATTCCCCGAGCGCTGGCAGGGCTCCTTACCGCCCGACCCAGTTCTGCCCCTAAACCCTTTAAGCCCTAAGCCCTAAAAGGGATCCCCTAAACCCTAAACCCGAAACTCTAAACCCCTAACCCACTAAACCCTAAAAGGGAATTCCTAAACCCTAAACCCTAGTGGTATGCAGCAAATCCAGTTTCAAAACGTCGCACGCATCTGCCGTCCCATCACTCGTGGGCGGCACCAGGGCCGCGGCGAGCAGGCGAAGTTGCAGCACGGGGACCTGGTAGTGGCCTCAGAGACAGACGTGTGTGTTCAGGTGCAGTATGCTATGGTAGTCCCTATTGTTTAATTTTGAGTTGGATTTTTGCATTTCCCCCGTGAGACTGCTAGTTGATTTCTCGCATTTTCGACGATGTGAAGGTTCCTGCGCATCAGTGAGGACTCCATCGCCCTTTTCAAGCCTGTGGGTCATTCCCAGCACACTGAGGGTCACGGTCGGTGAACGGCAAAGGAGGGGAACAGTTGCAGTTTTTTGAGTGGGATACCTATAAGCTTGCCATCTGCTGGGCTAAACTCTACAGCCTCCGATGAACACTAAACAATACTTTAAGTTCGGTTGCGCAGCGAGGCAAGAGTTGTGAGAGCGTAAAACCCTATAAACCCTTAGACTCACGGCCCTGAAGCCCTTAAACTAAGCCCTGAAACCCCTTGTCCCGGACCGTAAACCCTGCGTAAACCCTAAACTCCCACTGATTCTGGCTCAAGGCACCCCGGGCGCCCCCTAGGATCGCACAAGGCTTATCCTTTCGTTGCACAGCCATGGCGTTCTCGCGCGCAACTGCAGTGCTATCCCAGCTCCTTCTCGCCAGAGCCTTCGATCAGGCCATCGTCAGCAGCTTCGCTCCCTACCCGGGCTACGCAGGAGACTTGGCCACAGAGGGCGTCATGTCGGTCATCTCCACCAACGACACTCAAAGCCTGTCTTGGATGCTCTCTGGTGTGGACCCGCGCTGTAACGAGACCTGCACCGCGCCTAACTGCTGTGGTGTTCACATCCATGTGGGCAAGACCTGCTCGGATGCCACCAGCATCGGAGGGCACTACTGGACCACCGGAGGCACAGATCCTTGGCTGACGATCATGTACAACAGCACCAGCATGCCGGCCCTTGAGACCGATCTCGCCGTGGTCACGGGAGCATCTGGCGAGGATATTTCTGGGCGTGCGATGGTGATCCATGACTTCGACGGAAGTCGAATTGCTTGTGGAATCATCGCGAATGCTTCCGTTGGTGGATATGTCGCATATCCTGGCTACGACGGCAACCTTGCCACGGCAGGAGTGATGCAGGTGTATTCCAAGGATGTCACACAGAGCCTGACCTGGATCTTCACAGCTGGCCTGGACACACGCTGCAGCGCCGCCTGCACCGCTGCCAACTGCTGCGGAGTCCACATCCACGTGGGAACCAACTGCTCGGACAAGGACACCATCGGGGGCCACTACTGGAATTCCACTTTCGTGGCCGCAGACCCATGGGCCATGATCATGTACAACACCTCGCACATGCCATCTGTGATGTCCGACGTGATGGTGTCGACGGGCTACATGGAGGACAACATCGAAGGCCACACCATGGTCATCCACGACTTCGACGGTGGCCGAATTGCGTGCTCCCACATCACAGATGTCTTGGAAGGCATGTGGACCGACAGCACCACCACTTCCACGACCGGCACGTCGGCCAGCTCCGACATCTCCTTCGCCCACGCCAGCAAGGTTGGCATTGCATTCGGAGCGCTGGTCTCAAGCCTGGCTGTAGCGTAAGACGTGCCCGTGGCCCGAGACTGCAAGGACCGCATGAAGATTTAGAGCTTAGCTTCAATCAGTACGGTCATGCTGCTTGATGATTTGAAATGGTCCTTCGGTCCTTATGAAGATAGCGGCGGTGCCTCGCGCTCGCAGGGCTTGGGGTTGTCTGGCCATTTGGGCCCAAGAACCCTACACCCTCAACCCTCAACCCAAAACTTACATGGTCCAGTTACAGTTTTGCTGTTCCTCCCCCTAAACCCTAAACCCTAAACCCCTAACCTCCTAAAACTGTTGAATGCGAGCGCTCCAGCTGCAGTGCGCAGATGCGAAGACCCGGAACTTCGAAGAATGTATTGCAGGGGTCGGAATGATTAGTAACGGCTTTAGGGTTGGGCTTCAGGGTTTAGGGTTTTAGGGTTTTAGGGCTTCAGGGTTTTAGGGCTTTAGGGTTTAGGGTTTAGGGTTTGGTGACGCAGCCCCTGGTTGTGTACCCCACTGCCTCCAAAGCCCTAAGGCTTCAGGTTGGAAGATCCGGGGGAAAACTCGACTTGGGGGTTTCATGGGTAGTTTTTAAGTGGGAGTTATGGGGTTCCTTTAAGGGCTCCTTTAAAGGGTTCTATAGGGGTTTTTAGGATTTCGGGTTTAGGGGTAGTTATAAGTGGGGCTATAAGTCCCCTAATTTGGGTTATAACTATAGTTACCCTACTTATAACCCACTTATAGCTACCATTAACCTCCAAGAACCCCTAACCTGCGAAGTGCAGTGGATGCCATTGGTGCACAGCAAGGACTCGAAAGCAGCTTGATGGTTTATATAATCCTTAAACCCTAAACCCTAAACCCACCCAGCCGCAGAAGCCTCAACACCCTCTGGCGGAGTCTTGGCTTCTGCCACGTGTTTGTGCCACTTTCAATTCGAGCCGCGCCGATGCGTGCTGTTGTTCGATGTTTCAAGGTCCTGTTCCGTCTTTGACGTCTCGGACTAGATCCTGAGCCCTGAACCCTGAAGTCCGCACCCGAAACCCTTGGAAGAACCCTATGATCCGAGGTCCCGTCCCTTTTTGGTCTCTGACGTCTTGCATGGACCTAGCAGCAATTCATTTGAGCAACGGCTCAGATGTTGGCGGGCTGTTGCCAGGTGGCCCCGAAGATCGAGCCTGTTGACCCCGATCCGAAATCAATCCGCACTTTCAAAACCCCGAAAACCCTAAGCCAACCGAAAATCCGCTGGGCATAGATCTCGAGCCATGCAAGAGGGAACAAATCTGCATCTTCAGATCCCTAAACTCTAAACCCTAAACCCCTAAACCCCAAACCCTAAACCCTAAAACCGAAACCCTAAACCCTAAAACCGAAACCACTTGGCCTTGGGAGCTTCCGGGCAACAGCTTGCGGCAGCCCGGCTTCTGAAAGGAGCAGAGTCTTCCAAGCTTGGCTGTCCAGATTCACCGGCTTCCCGGGAAAAACACGACGAGGCTATGTTCCATGTTCCGCGAGGCATAGAATATAGGGGCTTCACTAGTTACCAATACTATTTTTTGGGGTGCCTTATTATAACTGCAGTATATTGGCCCCCCAAAACCCTATTCTAATTATTAAGTCCCCATACATTACGCGGCAGGTCCTATAGTTCTTAGTGTTTGTCACGGTGGCCTGCGTCGTACCCCCCATCCCCCCACTAAGACGGATGCCATGCCCAGAGAGCCCAAGACCCCTTAATTAAGGAATATATACCTTAAATCATACTATCAAGGCCCCTATAATATAAGGTATATGCCTTAATTAAGGAATCTACCTTAAATATCCTTAAATCATATTATTAAGGCCCCTATAGTTTAAGGTATATTCCTTATTTAAGGGGTATTGGGTTCTCTGGCTGCCTTCTCTGGGAGCTTGCCTAAAGCCCCATGCACCTCCTTGCGCACCTTTGCATTCTGTCACTGGTGGGGGACCCTGAAACCAGAGGGAGAAAGGAGCTCAACTTTAAAAACGCACCCAAACCTGATACCCAAAACCCTAAACTTCACCCCAAAACCCGAAACTTTAAACCAGGAATTTAAACCCTAAGCCCGAAACACTTAAGACTTAACCCTAAACCCCCCCTTCCCCCAGCTCCCCCAATTCCCCCGCGCGAAAGGTCACGCTTACGCGATTCGGGCCCAGTGCTGCGAGGGCAGCCTCCGAGGTCGGGTCTTTAGGGTTTAGGGTTTTAGGGTATTGGGTGAGTGTTGCAGTCAATGATGCTGCAGCTTTGCCTGGCCTTTTTCTTCAGGGTACCCGGCAGTCGCAATAGGCCTGGATGCAAAAGGGTTTTAGGGGTTTAGGGGTTCAGGGAGTCCTGGATGCAAAAAAAAGGGTTTTAGGGGTTTAGGGTTCAGGGTTTAGGGTTCAGGGTTTAGGGTTTACCTAGACCCCAAAACAACCTACTTTTTTAAGGACTTGTATAAGGAAATCATAATAAGGAACCCTAACAAGGTAGGTTCTTTGGGGTCCAGGTAGGGTTTATAAGCTCCTTTTACAAGAGTTTCTGCGTATTTTGGATTTATCGGGTGGGTTTAGGGTTTAGGGTTTATAAGCTCCTTTAACAAGAGTTTCTGCTTATTTTGGATTTATCTAGGGTGGGTTTAGGGTTAAGGTGTTTAGGCGTTTGTGGCAGCTTATTATGAAAGCCTCCACACCCCTAGATCTTAGGATTCAGAGGTTTCGGGATTCGGGTGCAACAGTCTCTCGACGAATACAGGTTTTTTCTTTATACAAAGTGGCGGCGTCCGTCAAGATGATGCGAGGTCGTGGTCTGGCTAGGCTTGAGCTGATTCGTAACAAAAGCGGGTTTGCGTTGACATCCTTCACAAACCCTGACCCCCTAAACCCTAAACCCCTAGTCCGAGTGTGAGTGCTGAAACCCCTAAACCCTCCCTAAACCCGAAACCCCTAAACCCCTAAACCCAAAACCCCTAAACCCTCTAACTCGCAGCCTCCCGGGAGGTGGAGTTCATCCAGTTCTGCTTCGACCTCTCCCGTTCTTGCTTAGCACAGGCCGGCGCTCGCCGGCCTCTCCCGTCACGAAGCACCGAACTACGGTTTAGGGTTTAGGGTTTCGAGTTTCGGGTTTCGGAATTCGGGTTTTGGCACAGTCAAGTTAGGAGACTGTACCCTCAGTTCTAGGCCTTCTTGTCCCTGATGCAAGCACTGGGCCGTATATACTCTTCTATTCTCTTCCTTTTCCTTAAACCTATGCAATCTGCTGCTATTCTTCCTTACCCTTATCCTGAATCCTTATCATGAATTGGGGATCATCAGCTGATCCTCGTAATTGTAGTTTCTGTCCGCGCCCTGCAGGTGCAGCTTCAGCGGCCGCGTTCTACAAGTCGGGGGCACAGACAGCATGCAGGGCTGTCACTCCTAAGGTGTGCATGACGAGGAAGAGCGTTGGTGCAACCCACGGAAGTAGTGATGATGGCGGCAATGAGTGGTGGTACTGGCAGTAGTTGTTGTCGTCGCCGCTCCAGGTGTGGCAGTCGTGGTCGTGTTTAGTGGTCCGCAGTAGCACAGAGGCTTTACCCAGTGATCGACGCCGAGCGCCAGCGTTAAGTTCGGACGGTTTCAACTTCTGGTTGCTGTGGATTTGCATCTTTCTACATTCTACATGACATGTGATATTCGAGCATGTTTAGTATGCATCATGACCAACCAACCTACCTGCCTACTTTCCTGCCTGCGTGCCTTGCCTGCTGTCCACATACCTACACAGCTATACTCACCTATGTACAATTAGTGCCATGGCCACTGCGTCGGAGCCTTCGTCTCGGCAAGGAACTGTCCTGGACCCCATCACGGGCCTTCCACCGGGGTGGCGTCGGCGCGAGTTCTTCGAGAACGAGCTCGGCGAGAATGTTGACAGCATCAAGAAGCTTATGAAACTCGTGTGTGACAGGACTGGCGAAGACGTGGAGCAGTTGACACAGCAAAGTATGGCCATCCGCAATGCAAGGGCTAGGGCCAGCGAAGAGTCTGGCCCAAAAGCACAGTCCTCGCCGAATCGAAGCAACGGTAGCGGCGGTAAGCTGGACCCAGAAACCTTTCTGCCGGCCGGATGGGTGCAAGTGGAGAAAAAGTACAAAACCGGAACAAAGACTGGCAAGACATACATCCGCTTCCGGAAGGAACATGGTGACTCTTCAAACTACTGCACCATTACCCAGGTTCTGAAACAGCATCTGGAAGATACCGGCGAAGACTTGATGCCGCTGTACCATGAGCTGAGAGAGCAGAAACTGTCCGAGGACAAGCGCGCAGCAGAATCGGCGAAGATCACACCAGAGCAGAAGAGACTCCAACGTGAGCGATACATCTCGAAGTTTCGTGCTGCGCATGGTGCCCTAACTGGAGCAAAGGTCGCCGCTCTGCCGGGTTGGTATGGCGAGTCCAAAAAGGGTCAATGTGGTCAACTAATCGCCACTTACTTCGATCCGGAAGGCCGTTCCTTTAAGCTTCTCAAAGACATCGAGGCACACTTCGGGTGTCTCATGGAAGAGGGCAAGCAGATTCCCAACTTCTAGGTGGCGTTGCAGTGCCGATGACTTGGCGCTCCCACATGGTAGAGAGGGCGGAACCTCCCGCAACTCAACTTTCCAGTCTGTTCTCTATTTGGCTCTGCCCTGGGATGTACAATGTATTGCAATTCTCTGAGCTTACGCTGGATGCGAGCATGGGATTTAAAACGCAGTCTTTGAAGTTGCGTTTTTGCTCCAGCTGTCTGCAGCTTCAGCGCTCTGGAAGGTTCGGCTGTGAAGCCCCAAACCTAACCCTTAAAGCCATCCTAGACTCCTAAATCCTAAACCTAAAGGGCACAAACAAATTGAACTTCAATCCGGAATCCCTTGCCTGCCCTGCGAGCCGAAACGCGAAACCAAGGTAAGCCATGCGCTGCCCCAACCCGAAGCCCTACATCCCTAACTCCATCATGACGCGAGGTTTCGGCCTGAGCCCGAAACGTTGGGATCCGGATTCCCTTCCGCAGCCATCTTACAAAATTGGAACGACAAAGAGAATACGAGAGTGGACCCGGCGCATTGGAACAGGTTCCTTCAAGCCCCCCCAGTAGCCCCGAAGAACCCGAAAGTCCTACTCTCCTTCCTGCAACCCAGGAGCCCTAAACCCTATTTGGCGAGAAAGCCCTAAACCCTAAATCCTAAGGTTCCAGACGGGTGGTCCCCAAACCCTAAACCCTACACCCTACGACGGGGGCTAGAACACTTGCAGTACAGTCTTCCTCCATCGCCTGTAAAAAGGTTGTCTACAAAATGCAAGAAAACCTTATTCCAAACATTATGGCAACAGTATTACACCCTAGTAACACCTTCTACAAGCCAAGTCGGAACATACTAGCAAGTACAAATAGAATTCCTTGGTTATGCCCTCTCTTTCTTTATATATACATATATTTACACATCCATCCATCCATCCATCCCTCCGTCCATGCATGCATGCATGCATGCATGCATGCACATACATACACCTACATACACACATACACACACACACATACATACATACATACATACATGCATACATACATACATACATACATACATACTAACATAACATAACATAACATAACATAACATAACATAACATAACATAACATACATACATACATACATACATACATACATACATACATACACACACATGCGTACATGTGTACATGCGTACA